ACGACAACCAGGTCCTGCTGGAGCAGAATGAGGAGCTCCTTTATTAGTCTGTGGTATTAAATCTCGAACCAGCAGACTTGGGAATGCTTCAATATGTGCATTCCTTACCTACGGTCAACCACTTGACGTTCTTCAGTTACCACCTAAAAAGACTACCTAACTGAATATTATCTATCGTCAATTTACTAGGCTTCGAACTTGTGGAACAGGAAATACTATGTAGGTGTACTGCAATGGAGACGTAATCGCTGTGCAACTACAATGAGATGGACATGAGCACAAAATGTAACGATCATGAAATGCCGCGGAAAAAAAGGGGAAAAAAACACGCCAGGGTATATATGATCAGAACATAGAACTCCTCTTTTTTTCAAGCTTGGTAGCATTGTTTCCCTCCTTGTGGCGCCGGAACCCAAAGAAACTGCTCTTTTTCGGCTCGATTTGAGGTGTCGGCCTCGACGCCGCCGGGAGAGCACCGCTGCTGGTAGGATGTTGGTGGAACCCAACGGTAGACTGTGGTCGGGGTTGCGGGCGTGGTTGTTGTGGTCGCGACTGCATGAGGTGGGTGGAGGATTGGGCTCGGGGATCCATGCGCCCCTGGAGGTATGGGCCGTTGGCGCCGTGGGAATATTGTTGATGATAGGATGGACGGGCTGCGGGTTGGGAAGAAAGTTGGAATGAGGATTGAGAGTATTGGTGGAAAGGTTGAGGGGGTCCGGTATGCCGGGGCGGAAGGTGCGGCCTGGAAGATGGAGCCGGGGTATGCTGTTGCTTTCGCGCTTGCTCTTCTTCTTTTCCGTATAACTGCTGTAGGCGTTTGGTTTCTTTCTCGACTTCTGCTTCCCGCTGACGCCGTGCTTTTTGTTCTGCGGCGAGAACTTCCTGGGTTCGTCGCTCCTCTTCCTGTCTTGCGAGTTCGTCCTGTCGCCTCCTCTCTTGTGGGGCCGGAGATGAGGAGTTCGGGATGCTGAGCCGAGGCGGCGATGGCTTTCCACTCATTGCTGGCCCAGGAGGTCGTGTCTGTGGGCTCTTCCGGTCAATCCTGGGATCACTAGCTGGCGTGACCGTCGCTGCAGTTGCGGTTGGCCCTACTGTTTGCTTGCGAGCTTGGTTCGGCCCACCGGGGGTGATGTGAAAAGCCTCCTTGGCAGGCCCGAAGAAAATATCTCGAATTGCAACGGCAGCCAAGAGCAGCACGACCTCCAACCCCTTGAAATCTTCCATCTCGACGCGATAGAGATTGGGCTCGTAGAGAGTCAGCTCCTTCAGCCCTTGAAATAGAGCGACCGTGATATCTGGTTCACGGCTCTTTGTGCGCGTGTCGGGGATCGTGGAAGTCTTGCCGTGCAACAGACATGTCAAATCCTTTGACAGTTTCCCATCCTTGCGCCAGCTGAACCTCAACTTCGGAGTAACGTCTGCAAGGGAAGGATCGATCTGTGTCTGATCTAGCGCTGAAGCGGATGGAACCCGGAATGTCTTTTGTGGCATCTCAAATTCCCAGCGGGCTGGTTTGTTCCACGATTTGGTACGATATTTCACTGTGATCTTTTGGTCAGGGTTGTAGAGCTGGATGGTGAACTCGGTAGGGAGGATAGGTTCTGGGGCCGGTACAGAGCCGCCATTTGCTCGTATTGCGTCCGCCGACAGACTCGGTTGGGTCCAATCTGGAGCTACAGCGACCTCGCCATAGACAACGTCTGTTACATAAGGGTCGTACAGCGCGACTCCATAGCGGTTTTGTGATGTTGGGGAGGCGGGGTCAAGCGCGCGTAAGGAGTAAGCAGGTTCGGGGTCATTTCCATGTTGACTATGGTATATTGTGCTGATCTGAGGTTGTTTTGAGTTGTTCTTGAGGAAGAACGCTGTCCCGCGGTCAGTATGATAATCTTCAAGTGGGTGATGACGTAGCCTGCACTAGGGAAAAACGAGGCTACGCTAGTCCTTACAACGTACTGGGTAAATTTTCATCAATCATCTTGTCATGTGGAGTGCCAATGTACAACTCAGCAAGAGACTACCCAGGTGGTTATGTGCAGGAGTTATATCGAGAGCTTGCACGCGGGAGTGAAGTCTGCGCCACGGGATCTTAGTGATCGGCACCTAAAAATAGAAGGCCTGTCCCGCTGATTCGTATAGTTTTGAAGGCACCAGCATTTAAAGCGCCTTAGAAAAGATATCCAGGATCAAGCTATGAGAAATGCAGGCAACGGCGTTCTATGCATGACATCAAGACCTCGGCTTTTGCCCTTTGTCACTTCTCCTTTCTTTCCAAGGTTGACTTGCCCACACATGTCCTGAGCTCTGTCTCTTCCACCTTAATGCGACACAGTTTCGCTAAAAGGACAAAAATGTTGTCCCTGCAGGGCCTTCCCCATGCAGTGCTGCTTAATGTGACCAGCACACTTTCCGTATGCGACGCCATGGCCCTGTTGTAGCAAAGCCGTGGAATACATGCTCTATGTGATGTGAAAAATCGTCAGAAATATCACAAATTGCAGATTGGCCGAGAGAAGTACCCGCGTGCTTGGACGGTGGACTTCAAGCTGGCTTAGACACATTACTTGCGATCTTGCGAACCCCCTCCCTTGGAAGCTATCTTCATCGTTTGGACCTCTACGGAACCGGTATGGTTCAGTTTGATGATAACTCTGGAAGGTCCATTTCAGACTCTGGGCTTTCCCCCGAGGATATCGACAGACTCAAGAAAGCAACCAAAGACGCCGGCTTCTAAGACCTCTAGGAGCGTGAGTCGATCTTATCTATGCTTGCACGAAACCCTATTGAATTCCGGTAAGCTTTTATTTCCTCTAGAAATTTTCCACGGGTTTCTTGGCTCTGTTTGCTCACTAGGGATACAGATCTTATACAAGCAATCAGACACTCCAGTTTAAGGATGCCGTCATTACGCTGTTAGTTGTAGCTCCCCCGAATCTCGAATCTATTTCGATGTATCCATTACAGAGATATGTTCAATCCCTATCACCTGGGACATACAAAAGGGTAAATCTTCTCGAAAGATTGCTATGTCAGGCCTCCACTTTCCCAGAATCGGTGCCACACTGCCAAAATTTACGCAACATTAGCTTCCACCCAGATGATGCTATTGGACGTATGCAACGAGTATATGGAAGACCTATATTATCATCGACTCAACAGGTTCGGAAACTAGCAGCCATTGAATCGGTGGCTTTCAAGCTGGCAACTTGGAGCAATGAAGCCGGAGTACCGCCTCCTCCCCGCTCCGCCAACTATAGCAAGATCAGCTTTACGCACTCTGCAATGAGGACCTGGGACCTTTGCCGTATAATTGAATCCGCCAAGACTTTGAAAAGTTTTACTTCCACTGTTGGGGGTCGTGCTTATGGAGGCATACCCTTTTCATGCGTAACTCCGATACTCGAGTCGCTTTGGATGCATCGCCAAACCCTAGAAGAACTCAATTTGGATATAGAGGGCCATTCACCTCGACGGGAACTCTATCACGAGGAATATCAACCTAGTGAAGAGTTTCTTGAAGGAATGACCGAGGACGAGCAGAAGGAATATAAGGAGCAATGGGCCGACGAGCTGCATGAGATAGCTGCCCCAGAGACCGCACCGCAGCGCGTGTCCTTGAAAGACTTTCCACAACTCAAGCATCTTAGTATTGGAGCTCATACACTATGCTGTCTAGCTTGTGGCACGGGAGATGGCAAGGGCCGTATTGACTCAAAATATTTCAGTCTGGTTGATCATCTCCCATTTACCCTGGAGTCTCTCCGGATTTACGGGCGCGGACAAGCCGTGGATGATCCCTATCTAGAGTACGAATCTGATCTGGATGTTGATACCCAAATTGAGCAACTCGCGCGCGAGAAGGACGCAAAACTGCCAGGACCGAAGATGCTTGAAGGCGTTGATCCTCGTATTCCAAATGAATTCACTGTGAAGTATTGGAAGGATGAAGATGACCCAGAACTTTTCTGGAGAGACCCAGACGACAACAGATTTGATGATATTGATGATGACCTTTGATAATCTAGTCTATGAATCAATGTTGTCACCAGTCTAACTGTCGCAGTTTTCCAGGACCGATCATTTTGTGACCGTGCAAGCGCTCCCTCAAGGAGAATGTCTACATTGCGGATTCGACTAGTACTGGGTCTGAATTCGGAGGAAGGAAGGGCTCATATGTGTACTTAGTCGTAAACTCATCAGGTACGTACCTAACCTGGAAGGCAATGTTATATTAACCCATCGATGTGTAGCTTCTAAAATTCATAATAGTACGGAGGGTCAAAAGTATGACTTAGCTGTGCTTGAGCTTGAAACCTATAAAGAATCCAAAAGTAATTAGTCGACAGACAATCCAGTGATTAAATTAGTACAAATGTATAGAGAAGGTAATATGATCTGTGAGCACACACAATAATACGGCTGGCTAGTCACAACGCACCTGGACATCAGGAAGCAACCATGGACGTCTATATGGCACAAGTTAGTCACAATGGCCGTTTGACAGGAATAACTTAGTTGCTTGCCAAGTATATCATGGGTAGTCTTCTTAGAAGGCAATAACTCACTAAGCCGTCGAATTAATAAAGCCAGTCCCGGTGGCCTCCTGACATATGGCTGCCTGTAAAATCCAAATTAGTCATAATGGGGGCTCAAGGGAATGACCTCGGGACCTAGCTGCTTGAAAAAGATACTATGTGTAATCTTTTGGATAACGAATCAAGTCAAATCTAGACGCGTTAGTATGGAATCCAAGTCACCAAGGGAACGGGAGTAGTAAATCTAGCTCACTATGCGGGTAATCGTCAGCCACAGTATATTGTGGACCTATCGTCGAGATGTATCTATAAAATTCCGATTGGTGACACGAGAGCGGAGAATAACTTAGCTGCTTGGTAGGGAAACTATGTGATGATGTAGAATATCGACGGGCCTAAGCTTCGTTAGTTACCGAATCTATGTTCCCAGAAAGGGCCGTAAGTAACTTTGCCATTCAGTTAGTCGTTAGTTGGATCCCTATATGGGGAATTTGTTCGCACGGAACCTAATTCAGTCTGTTAGTATCTTTATGTGCATCGGGAATGGCCCACCTGATGTTGTATGATCTATAAGAAGGTAGAGGTGGAATGCCCTGGGACGATATATGGTGTAGTAATCTCTAGATCTCTTTAGTAAGGGAGGGAAAGGGGCGAGGGTAAGAGTTATAAAAGGACTTAGCCTTAAACGGGTAGTAGGTTATGTTCGGATCGGTACTCATTGTCCAATCCCACGATGTCCTAGTTTGGTATGCTATGCGTTAGCAATGATCGTCTTGCTGGAGGCCTTCCACCTGGGATATAAGAAGATATGATACCGGTACGTAAATGGTCCTAGAATAAAAGTGTCAGTGTCTATCCCGCAATTGAATGGAAGAGGTACTCAGCGGATGATTCGCAGTCCACATATAGTAGGTGGAAGACAGGCGTTACGTCTATCTTGAGCTGGAATGCTGGCGATGGGATCAAAAGCGAGGGGACGGAAGCCATTATATAGACAATCATATCTAGACAAAGGGGAGCGCAGCTTATGGTTGTTCCACTCAAGTCCTTTCTCGGCATCCTTGTCGAGGCTATGGCAAAGTGTTTTATCGTGTTTCTGACGATGAAGAAGCTCATTGTTCACAACCGAAGATAAAGAAGATGTAGAGCAAGTGGAAGACTCGACAATGACTCGACAATGAAGGCCTTGACATACTATACTGCATGTCAGCTTTGTTCTATTGTCTGCTGAAACAGCCACCGAGGGTTAAAATAGCCCAAGGGACTCAAGAACCAAAGGGAACTGGGGTCAAGAAACCAACAGACAATGGAACAAAAAGCCTTGCTGAATATCCACGGAATTGTTTTTGGTTTATGTCAGATCTATCAACTATATACTGGCTCTATCTTTTGTAACCCGTCGCAAAACCTTCCCAAGGTTGGAATGCGACAACTGAAAAGTACAATAGCAATGTCCATCAAAGCAGATTTTTGTTCACTGCCCAGTTCATACCCGGACCCCATTGACCTCCTCACCTTCGGTGACCTTAGTCGCCTCCCGTTCAGCAGTGCTCATCTGCAATCCCTGGTCATCCCAACCCTGGGTGCCCTTCTTATACAGCGTCTTCTGTTCCTCCCGACTAGCCATAGGTCCAGTCTTGCCCCGGCGCTGCCGTGAGTCAATTGTCTCCTCAATTGAAGCATTATCACCATCCAGCGGGTATCCCTCCAGATCGTCTGTGTGTATTTCTTCGCTGAAAACGAAAGTGCGGTACTCGGTGTTGGACCAGCCGGTGCCTGCGAATGTAAAACGGCGTTAGCTTATGATTTCCCTCAATCGTAGGTCGTCACATACCCTGGAACTGGCTGCTGTCTTCCCAGTCCTCAGTGAAATAGTGCAGGAAACCGCCGTGCGTGACCATGACAATTTCCTTCTCTGGGCGGGCTTTCAGCCAGCGACGGGCTGCACGAGCACGTTCCTTGAGGGCTTTGTTGGTTGGGGCGTAGCGACCGGATAGCTTTTTGGGACAAATGTGAGTATACCATGTGCTGAATACTGTTGAGGCGACCCCCAAGTTGCAAAAAGAGTGAGGAACATACCTTGTTATTCCACCCATCTTGCACGAGATCCAGATCAACTCCCGTCTTGAATTCCTCCTTCAGAACAGAAGGATCGCTCCCAGTATCACATGGAACGTCCGAGGTCTCCTGAATATCAGGTAGGGCAATAATCTTCAAGTCCGGATTTGACTCGAAGACCGGCGCAAAGCTCTCGAGCGCAGTATAGAGAGTGCGACGGAGGGGCGAGGCGGTCACCAGGTCGATATTGGCGTGGCGGGGGAAATTCGCGCGGAGTGTTTCGCATTGCTCGTGGCCGAGGTCGGTGAGGACGGGGTCTTGGATGATGTGGTTGGCCGTGCTAACATTGTGCAAGCCCTGTGATTATTTATTAGCTCGACTGAGCAGAGAAGAGCCATGTTGCAAACCAACTGTCGAGGCTCAGGGAGTGGTTGCGACATTGTCACGATATGGACATACTTGGGCGTGGCGGACGCAGTGAATAATTGGGGCCATTTTCGATATCCAAGGGACTGTCGGAAATAAGCTGGTCAATTCGAGGTTAGAAACTTGCGGAGTTGCAGATATTGAAGACGTGAAAGTGCTTATCGTGGGACGTGGGGGTGATAGCGGTGGAGGGCTTGAACAAGGGGCCCACGGGGTACGCCCACGGAAATCGGAGTGCCTTACAGAGTATTTTGCTCCCAAAAATAATTCGCGAGGAACGCAGATATGTGCGAGAAACAGAGATGTAAAAGTCAGGGAAGTAAATGTTAAGAGTCATCAACCCCCGGACCTCAGCAGTCCGATTTGGTCATATAAATTTGCGGAGCGCCACATCATCAAGCGAACCACAGCCATGCACTGGAGTCCGATGAAGATCTATAAACTGTGATTTGTCTATCTTAAACCTCTTTAGATGCCTAGTGGAAGCCGAGTACTCCGTACTTCATGAAAAGTATGCTATTTGCACCATGTGAGATAGAATGCCACCATCACATCAATGAAGTATAGAACAAATGGGTATGTATAGGTAAACAATGGAATCTGACAACCTTCTATGCGACGCCAAATCCTTGGGCGTTTTCGAGAGCCTTGTCAAGCTTCTTCGCCAAGGTCTCCTTTGACGAGTACTCTGGCAAAAGCAAACGTCCGAAGCACGTTAAGCTGGTAGGAAGACGCTAGAAGAACAATCAGTATGACAGTCCATATTATGGAGGTTATAGAAAGTGGCAGGACTTACCAAATCCCCTACGCCGTTTTTTTGGATTACAAACATAATGCTTGGTATCCCGTTGACGGGAACACGGTCACTAGCAGTGACGAATTCGAGTAACTGGGCCCTTTTTTCATTAGGGTACTCCTGGATAATATCCCAGAAGTCACGAATGACGCGATGATCAGGCCCGAATCCGCCCTCGTAGCGGGTATGGTTCTCAAGCTCTTCTACGTCAATCGATTGAATGCCTTCTACCACGGTTTTCAGGGCTTCCGGGGAGAAGATGGACAGAGCCGATCGGTCCAGGCACGTGTTGAACCCCCTCTGGAAGGCTTCAAACTGTGGTCGAATGGATTTGTCTGTGAGCCAGAAGATGTAATCCTTGACGAACTGATGTCGATTTTTATTGGTCACAAGAGCGGCCTCTTCCGCTGGGGGTAGAGGGGACTGAAGTGATATGGGCTCAGACACTGATTTGGCGGTGATGTCTGACACGGGTTCACAGGATGTGACACCGGTAGCCTCCTCGACTGCCATCGAGGTTGGTGATCTCGATATCGCAGGGTCGCAGTAAGCTGGCACATCGATCCATGCGCTGGAGCCCGCCATAGGAGCCGGGTCCGTGACTTTTATTTTGCTTGCAAGAGGCCACGCCGCATCACGACTAACCTTTTGCATATCGATTGTCTGTATACTCCCGAAGGCTTCGAAGCTGAACTCGTAAGTCCGGGTGAAAATATCGCCGACATCGCCATCTTTCCACGCCAGTAATGTGTCGAGCCCTTGACTAAGCTCCGGCCACCCATCTCGAATATGGTCCAGATGCTTCACCTTTAGACCCAACATTTTGCGGTAGAAAGCAGTGGGAAGATTCACGGGGAGGGTCAGGCCGTTGTAAATTGCAATAGACATCAACAGACCGATAAGTTCGAATTTGTAGAGAGGTTCCAATGAACACGGCTGGAACCAAGACACGCGGTGTCGAGTGTCAACTGTGAACATGCCGTAAGATGGGTCGAAGGCTTGACCCATTAGCAAACGGAAGAACTCTTGTTGAACACCACCATGGTCAAGCCCTTCTTCTCCTTCATCCATGCCCATTTGCACCTTCAGGGGTCGCATCAGTTCTCGCTTTTCACGGCGCCATAATTGGCTCAGAGCATCGGAGAGAATATTGTCTCGGCGGACAACGAGAACAAGGTAGGTGGACATGGATGTTTTCATGC